TTTTTTTTTATTTATTTTCAATTTACAGTCAATGAGATAAATATTGATTGATCTACAAAATTGAAAATTTTTCATATCGTCTTTGCATGCTTTCTCACCAGGGAGCATCTGCCCTGGCTGGTTCTTTATATCTTGTAATCATACCATGTGCATTACTAAGATATCCTCATATTAGAGCAACAATTGGTGAAACACATTAAACTGCAAAACTAAAGCTCTACGTACTGCAGAAAGCCCACCACATAAAACTTTCAGCATATTGTCATTTATGAAGAACTCTTTTTCCTGCACTTTGCATTGAAGGTAAACTGATCACCCATTTAAGCTTTTTTCATAAAAATGGACTGAAGCAAATATGAAAGGAAAAGGAAAGTACTTTTATGTTAACGAAATCTGTGCTTATACTTCTTTATACACAATCCGTTGGACATTGCATTTATGTACCAAGGTTAGAAAAACCACGCATATTAAAATATTAAGAAAGACAGGATGGGCATAAATCCTACTTGCTAAACAGTTTTCTGCAATGCCTTAGGGAGGAATCACGATGACCACCAGTAACTACCTCATTTACCAGATCTTTAAAGATTAGACGCTCAATGTCCAACACTATAGCTGAAACTTCACCTCCGTAACTTACCCAATCATCTTGATACATCATGTCTGCAGTCAGGAGTCTGATCATTTCATCTTCTTCGTCATCAAGCCCGCCATCTGGTATCTTGCAGACACGGTCCATCTCCAAATACACTTCTTTCAGAAGCACCTGTGGACTGGTCAATTTGTTCCCTGATGTAAATACTCCATCCGAGGTGATTTTACGAACAAGTAATTCATCCACCATATCGAAAATTATCTTTCTCTCGATTTTCTTGTTCAGTTGCATCATATCACTCTTTGGACTGATTTCCTCTGTTAGCTCCAGGACATGAAACATGTTAGGGTTGATCAGATGGCATGAAGAAAGGAGGTGATTAGTAGGAGAGATGACACTCGGGTCTTTGAGGAGTCCTGATGTTAGTAGTATCTTGTTGATGTATTTGTGATAGGGGTTGAGGCTCTGGTATATTAGTGTATGGTGATCCACTGCCGTTGGACCGGGTTTGGTCAGTACTTTACTTGTGCATTTTGTTAAATGATTTCGATTCTCGAGGTGTCTTTGTGCTTCATCTGGGCTTGGGATTGCATCTGTTATTTTCAGTTTGAGACAGACCAAGCAGAAATTAGTTGGATGATTAAACCACAGTTCCAGTTTGTACAAGTGAACAGGAGAAACTATAAATTATGTGTACTATTGCCTCAAATATTTTATCTTATTTTATTTTATTTTAATTTTTGAGTTTTTGCTCCCATAATGAAACAGTTAGACATTGCAAGGCAGCATAACATATATCCTCGAATGCTCTACCAATAAGCTTGTTTAGTTACAACTATATATACTTATGACAGTTCAACTATTTTCTAATGAAGTGCTCCAGTAGCTACGGTAAACAAGGGAAAGAACTTCCTAGCTATCATTGACTGTTAATTCTTGATTTTGCCAACATTTTGAATTGGATCATGCTATGTTCGGATGTATTTCCAATGTGATGTTTAAATTGACCCTTGTTTTACCGTTTTAAGGCACCGGCCACAAACTGTTGGACTATTAACTTAATGGAGGATTTAAAATAATATTTCATGCTTGAGTAGTTTCTTTCGATATAAACGGGGTCTGATAGCAAATAACAATACCTTGAAATACTGTTGATAGCTTCTTCACTGGGGATGGTGGATCTTCACCGTAAAGTGTATCATCAAGAACTGAGATTGGACTTGGTTGTTCGGGAATGGTTATTGCAGTTTTGACCGCATGAATTTGTTCACTGGTCGTTGACATTGAATTCTGAGGACATAAAAGTACACCTGTCAGCTAATGCGAAACATCTAACTCTATACTGTAATCGCATAATGTAAATATATATTTAACTTACTTCATTTTGTGCAGCATCTGCATTGACCAAATGTACCAGGTCTATAACCTCTGTTGCTGCCTGTAACACTTGGCTGTTGTTGCTTTCTGACTCTACAGAAGCTGTGTCGTGGTGATAGCTCGACTGCCTCGTCCCACTACTAAGCTCAGTCAAGTGGCCATCACTTAACTGCATATTCTTTGCTTTTACTTTGTATTTTCTGTTCGGGGAACCTTTTTCAGTAAGCTTCTTTCTGCGGTGATTATTGACCCCTGCCGAGTCTGGTGATGGGGTGGTGGGTGGGGATTGTCCTTCTATTCTGAGTAGATGATGTTGCGATCTTGGGCTTACCACTATCTTGTTGCACTGATGTCCCGGCGTGCTTCTATCAAGTTCTGAAGCTTCCCAAGAAGACTTTTTTCCAGTAGAAATTGTATTGTTCTTGGATGTGAGCTCTTTTGCTTTTTGCCCGGGAGCTGAATTTTCCACGTGGTACCTGCACTTCCTAGTCCGAATATTTTGCTGTTGTGAAACTGGAAATGTGGCCTTCTCCATAAAATAAGCTTGTTTGATGACAACCGTTGAGACTAGTTGCTGCTGATTGCAAGGTCCCCTGATGGTGGGAACTCGGTCATTACTCTTCTTCTGTAATGTGTATTGTACAGGTTCTCCCATTCTTTCTTCTAACCGTTCTCTTGTTTTCTGCATTGCTTCAAGTATCTGTTTAAGGGCCCTTAGATCCTTGCCTGACTTCTGGAATTGAAGCTCTGTCATCCTCTTCTCAATTTCACCATAAACTGAAGAAGATAGGTTTCGGCTGTTAGTTGGAACTCTCCTTTTATCTATTGCCCTTTTCGGAGAACCTTGACCTGAATCCTGTTTCCTCCAAGGAGCCGGTTCGATGGGAATTTTCGAGTACACGTTTGTTCTCCTGTCGAAATTCTCAATTTGAAATCTTGGTGATTGTGAGGTGGTGTCCTTTTGAGGAAAACAAGGGGAATAATAACTAGCATGATTTTGGGCTGTTAAGGTTGGGTTATTAAGAAAAGCTTCTTTAGGACACGACTTTATTGTTGGGGTCCTGTTCTCGTCTGGAAAATTTTCGAGACCCATCAGCTTTGCTACAATGCTAGATGTGCGGTTGTGGATTGGATTCTCATTCTCCACATGAGGGTCCTGGTCGAGAAAATTCGATCTCGAAATGTCAGCCGAAGACTTCTTCATGGAACTCGTTTTGCTGTCTAACGACAACCTCGGGAGTTCTTTCTGCTTCGCTGTGCACCTGAGCCCATCCCGTGATTCTCCCCCGTCGTAAGAAAAACGAGGAGGAACAATTGCTTGCCGCTCGTTTTTGGAGATTCTTGTGATCTCGTGGGCCCCAGCAAGAACTTGAGACGATCCCTTGGTCATTACTGACGGCTTTAGTGTTTTGGGTTTGGATTGATGTGGGAGCCTGGGAGAGTCCACATATTTCATCACGGTCCCTTTATTCTCGTCTTTAGGTGCTCGGGGTTTGATGGGTAGGCCACGGGCTTCCCTATGCATTGAGTCTTTGACCACATCACGAAGGTCAAGGGATCGAGGTTCTTTAGTTGGTGTGATCGGGAATGGGTTTCCGGATTCATTTTTCTGTCTGAGTGAAAGTGTCTCAGGCTGAGCTATTCGGTTGAAATCGAGCGATGAGAATGTGGATGAACAGGAAGAAGATGTGTAGGATGCCCGGGATGATTCAGTGGAGATTTTGGGATTCTCCTTGTGCAATTCAAGAGCTTTTTCCTGAAAAATGTAAAGTTTTTCTTTTTAATACCGTTACGAAAATTGATAAATTACAACTGAAATTTTTAACGCAAGCATTTTTTTTTCCTTTTCAGAGAGAAGAGAAGGGAAAAGGTATGTTCGGGATCTTACGGTGATGGCTCTGGTTACATACTGGGGTTCCAGTTGGTGTTGTGTACCTTGAAGGACACAAAAGGTATAGAAATTTTAGCAAGTGGATACATGAATGATGGATAAAAAGAATATAATTGTCATCTATCACGACCGTTAAATCTATATTGGCTGCTGCTCTTTTGATCCTGTGTTTGTTTAAGTGCACAGCATAATATACTTTTGAAATTTATTTTGTCTATCAGAATAGTGAGATGATCTCCATTATACTCTCTTTCTTTTTTGTTCTCTTTTCACAATAAATCATATATTTCTTAAAATTCTCTCGCACATATAGAAACTATGGGGGAAAAAACGCAAGCACATATAGTTTGATACTAATTTATTTCCCATAATCACATTGCCGCACTCTTCCGATTTTTCTGCTGCTGCAAATCTAATTATCATTATGTCCTTCTTTTTTCTGCTTAATCAGGTCTTACTAACTTACATACCTTGAAGCAGCCTTTTATGGTGGCGGTCAAAGAGTTGTAAAATGCCGTTCATGCAACCAATCTGTTTCCTTAGGTCTCTGTTCTCATCTCTTAGGGAACTCATTGTCTTTGCTGACATATCTCTTATTTCTTTTCTTTTTTTAATTCTAAAACAGAGGGAAAAAAAAAA